CAAAAAAATCGTTGAAATTTCGTTAAATACAAGGACATTTCACTCTTCAATTATGAATATTTTCAAAAAAAAAATAAACATAAAAAATATAACGGGCCAATGCACTTTGTATTAAAAAGATCAAAATGTCTTTCTATTTAACGAAATTTCAACGATTTTGTTGATAGAGGACCAAAATTGGTCATGTCACAAAAATACTATGACCAAAAGTGAATGTTCCGATAAAAAAGGACTAAAAGTGAACTACCACCTATAAATTTTGGGCCAAAAATGAAATCAACTCTAATTTATAATACTCTATGATGTGATTGGTTGATATTGGTTAATATTTTTTTTTTGAATGCGTTGATATTGGTTAATATAATCCTCTACTTTATTAACTTTTAAATCGATTGTAATTTATTCAATGAGATTAAAAATGAAGTAAAACTTATTCAAATATGTAGTCTTTTTTAAGAGATAAAAATTATATTCTTCTTTTATTTTTTTGAGTGACAAATAAAATTGCTAGTTACTATTTAAAGGTGTACACCTCTCTATCACTAGCTGGGATTCTTCTCTTATTTCCTATATAAAAGGAAGATAAAGTCAAGGTACAAGAAATGGAGTGTTTTAATTGGTTGAAGGAATTCTAGAAGGAAATAAAATTCTTAACAAGGATTCTACTACAAAGATAAATGGTCTTCTAGAAACTTATTATATTGATCTAATAGTGAATAATTTATATATGTATAAATGTAAATATCATTCCTCCAAAAAAAAAAAAAAAAGAACAGTAAATATCATCTTAGAGCAGTAGGTCCTTTGCATCTTAAATTTTTATAGTAAAACTTTCTCAATTTATTGATTGTATTTAAATTAATCACGTATTCTTTAATCTTACATATAATAAAGCTATATGGTTGGGAAGTCATTAATGTTATAATTAATTACCAACATTATTATTATTACTAGCTAAAAATATAAAATAGCCACAACATCTTTTACTATAAAAAAAAAAAAAACACAACATTTGAAAAATAAAATAGCTATTTTTTTTCTCGCTCATAACAAAGGATTACATTTATTGAATTAATGAAGTTATTAAATGTTATGATATTAAGATTAAGGATTTCGATTCCCGATTAATATAAAATATGAAACAATGCAATATTAATTAAATCTCTGTCTTTAGAAAGAAAGTCTATTTGATATGCTTTTGTTATTTATGGTGGTTCTTGGGATTACAATATTAATTAAATTTTCGATGAAAGACTATTCGATATCTGAAACAGTGCAATTATATTAATGCAAGCCTCTAAATATAATTTTTCTCCCTCTCAAATGCTTCAAAGAAATGGCAGAAGCGAGAAGGGATGAAGAAAGCAAATGGCCGTGGGTCAATTATTGGACTTCAGAATAAATAAATAAATAAACCATTTAAGCCATAAATAAAAATTTAAATATATGTAAATGTATATATCGTATGGGTCTTTAATGTTTATCTGAATGTCTAAACTTAGGACTTTTAAAAGAAAAAAATACATTTGAATTATCTCCACAAAAAGTGGTCTTGGACTTATAAAATGACATTTGGGTTTATGGAATGACATGTGCATAAAGAATATATTATATAATCATATAAAAAAATGTGTTCAATTAGAGTTTAAATTTACTCATACAAAATTTGAAATTTGCTTTCTAAATGTAATTATCTTAGTTATTATTCGTATTGTGAAAATTATAATATAGATGAAATACAATCAAGAATAAATCAATGTAATTATGTAAATTCTCTCTATAAGTTTATTTGAATATGTACATAATTAGAGATTATATTAACCATACAAAATTTTAATTATAATTTTGTATTCTATAAAAATAATAACTACTTGACCAATGGAAGCTCAAAAATATTATTATATTAAACAATTTAAAATATTTTTATTTTTTCTAATTTTTTATTTATATTTATAATAACATAATTTTTTTTCTCCGTGCATCGCGCGGGTGAATTACTAGTATATATATATATATATATATATATATATATATATATATATATATATATATATATATATATATATATATATATATATATATATATATATATATATATATATATATATATATATATATATATATATATATATATATATATATATATATATATATATATGGGGAAGGGATCAGGTGCATTTGTGGCTTCCCGTGCGGATGTGCGGTGGATTAATGTGCGTGAGGTTTATACTTAATGTGCGTGAGATTTGTACTCAATGTGCCTGAGATTTGTACTTAATGTGCGTCATGTTAATATGCGTCATGTTAATATGCGTGAGTTTTGTACTTAATGTGCCTGAGTATTGTGTTTAATGTGCGTGAGATTTGTGCTTAATGTGCGTGAGTATTTCAGAATTACGAGCTCAGAAGGAAGCAGAACAGAAACTCAGGCACATTAACGCCCAAGCTTAATGTTACTTCTTCCTTCAATTTGGCCATGAATTCTGGATTATCAGCTACCTTCAGTGCAGTTGAATGTTTATATAGATGACGCACGCACAGTAAAATTTGCACAGCAGCTAAGTGTGGATTTCTGTTGTATTATTCTCATAATTCTTAACCACCATAGCCCGCCTCCGCATCATCATCATCAGGGAGGGGGCAATGGCTACTGGGGATGGGGAAGAAGCTGACATCAATATTTTCTGCTGCATTTTACACATTCACGCACATTAAGTACAAATCTCAGGCACATTAAGCACAACACTCACGCACACTGAGTACAAATCACACGCACATTAATCCACCGGACATCCGTACAGGAAGCATTCATCCGCACGGGAACCTTTCAATATATATATATATATATATATATATATATATATATATATATATATATATATATATATATATATATATATATATATATATATATATATATATATATGTATGTATGTATGTATATATAGCTCAATTTGAAAATTTGTCTTCTTAGCATTTTTTCATACAAGATTAGGTATTCCGTCTTACGCCGAGTTAATGCTAAGCTCCAGAGTCTGCTCAAGGGTTGTCGAAAGAGGTAAATCGTAAGTCACCGTCAGTCCACAGGTTCCTACCCCTGCATGTACACTTTGCACACCTTCTCTAGTCGGTCAAGATCTTTTCAAACTCTAAAATTCTCAGTATCGAACCCCCACACTATCACTAGAGTGAAACTTAAACGATTCTTAGCATATTAATGTTTCTACAGAAAGTATATAAATTAGCAAAATTATTCAACATATCAATTTGATAATATAGATGTCTTTATAACTACCTTAAAGGATAAAACACAAACAATATTCTCTTCCATTGACGTTAATAATAACATTAAAATATGAGTTTGACTGAGTGTTTGGATCAATAATTCTTCACATCACTATTTGACTTGAATTAAAGAAGGAAGAAATTGAAGGATGAACAAACCATCTAATCCTCCTATACACACACTCAAAAGTCAACCAACAAAATAAGTTTATAGACTTTCAAGCTTCTAGTTGCACTTATAATTTAATTAGTTTATGTTTGTTGTGTGATTTATAGACTTTCAAGCTTCTAGTTGCACTTATAATTTAATTGGTTTATGTTTGTTGTGTGACATATTTTCTTTACCACATGCTAGAAAGTTAGTGCGCATATATTTTCTAGATTGTGGTGCATTTTGTTCAAGTTATCTGTGCGATAACGGATAACCCACGTCATATGATCACTTTTGATGACAGATTATATTAAAAACAATATTGCCATGTTTTATGTAGTCTTCTTGTTAGGTGATTTGTGACATATATTGCTAGTTTGTATATACCAGCAATTCATAATCACAAACAAAAATTCAAGGCATGATACATAATTAGAAGGTTGAATAGTATAAAAATACATGCATATTGTATGTGTTCCATATAATACGTACATGTATAAATACTCTGCATATACATAATTAGCATATATATGTGCCAATCTACAAAAGCATATTAAAAGTCAGAATATAGGTATGGACAAGGTGTTTAATTTCATATGATGCTTATTACTTTCTCCTTGAGAAATTGGCATTTGCAGTGACTCAGCCTAGACGGCTAATACTGGCTTGAAACAAGAGCACTAATGATAGGTATCAAAACCCAAGAGAAAAGTCGTCCAAAAGATTGGTTTAATAAGTGTGCAAGAACGTACGTTCTCCATCACGTTAGGAAGTCAGCAACCTGTAGTCTCTTTTTGACCGGAAGTTCTTAATTAAGCCCAAGCTTCAGTACCATTGGATACTCTGCAGCAGCAATCACAATAAGTTTCTTGGATTCGTCAATTGTTCAAATGAAAGTGGCCTGGTTAATTAGTTATTCCCTCAAATTTTACTCCATAAAAGTAGAATTGTTAGCAATGAAAAAGGTGAGTTTAGGGAGATTATTTCATATTGTAATTGTAAAAGGAGTGGTCAGTTAAAGTAAAATGGCTACATATCACCAACCTAAAGACTAACTTCAAGATTTTGAACTCTTTCTTTAAAACCAAGATAACTGTAAAATCTTTGCTTTAATTTGGAGCCATGCAGGATGCATAAGATTTATTTATAGTCAACTCTAATAAGACAAGTTTTCAATAACTTGAGAGCACTAGCAGCTTCCCAGTTTAGAAACTTTCCAGCAAGGCATTCAATTAGCACACCAATCCACAAAAGCATATCAAAACAAAGAATGAATATGATCGCAGAAAAACAGAGAAGAAACAGGCATGTAAAGTCATTTCATCATCTCAGTCGATCATATAGGCACCAGATGAGTCAACCTGCATGCATACCACAACCACCAACATGATTTCTTTGAAAACCATCAAAATTAGTTAACGTGAGCATACTGGCAAGGGTTTTACCAATGACCAATGCGCATCTATTGATCTCCTTTTCAATGTTTGGTGAGGATAAACTGACCATTATATTGTCCATTTGGCAGAGCTCTTGAGCCCATGTTTCAATACCATATTTTGGATACTCTGCAATAGCATCTTACTTTCACAGGAACCCCCACAACTCTCAATCATGTGAGATTGCGGAAGTTTAACCTTCATGGAAACATTTGTCTGTCAAAGAATATCAAAACCATTTTTTGAAAAAGAAATCAGAAAACCAGTCATGTTTTATAATAGATCAAATACTATATTGCAGTAGTTAACTAAACTGTTATCTTGGCCGGCCAAGTCATCACTACATCTATATCTATAACTTTGCAGATATGATATTAAGGTATCACATAAAACTCCATACTTTTTCAAATTGATATCTTTGATTTCTTAAACAACACTTACATATATTACAACTCCCCCTACTTTATTTCCATAGTTAACTTGAGCATACTGGCAAAACATCAAACATTAGTTAACATCAACATTAGTAGCACATGAAATCCTCTTTGAAAATCCACATCTTTTATTTCTAAAATATCAGAAATTTGTATACCCTCTACCCAAATTTTATTTTACTTCTTGATTTTATTTTGTTCTACCTAAATGTCGGATGTTTGGTTTTATTGAACATAACACGTGTTGTGCATGAGCCCTTCCTGTATGTAACAGATTCACAATCATCTTAAGTCTTAACAAAAGAAAGAAATTTCAGTATATTTTTCTCCAAGTTGCTGGAAAACCTTTTCAATTTTGTTTCGACAAATTTCATAGATTCCTACCAATCTTTTCCTTTACTCCTCACTACTCTGTTTTACAAGGGGGAAAAGAAAAAGCAAGAAAGATATCATCATCATCACAAAATTAAACCTTTAACTGCATTGTAGTAAACCATTTATCACTACCATTTAAGTGGTTAGTTAACCCCTCAAATTTTTTGCATTATAAAAGTGGAGTTGTTAGCAATCAAAGAGGTGTGAGTTTTGGGAGATTATTTCATATTGTAATTGTAAAACGAGCGCTCAGTTAAAATAAAATGGTTACATATCACCTAAAGACTAACTTCAAGATTTTGAGTCTTTCTTTAAAACCAAGATCACTGTCAAATCTTTGCTCTGACACCATACAGGATGCATTAGTTGGAGGTTATTTATAGCCAATTCTAATAGGAGAAGTTATCAAAATTATACTTGATTAGCCTTGCAAATCAAATATCAATCAGACGAGACAAAACAAAATAACCAAGCAATTCCTCTTACCTCTGGAACTCCAATAATAGCTTGAGCACAACCAGCTTCCCAATTTAGAAATTTTTCTGCAACATATTCAATGACCACACCAATCTGCAAAAGCATATCAAAACAAAGAATGAATAAAAAGAAAATAAACAGAGATGTAAAGTCATCTCATCATCTCATATATAGGCACTAGATGAATAAACCTCCATGCCACAGCCACCAACATATACGATTCCTTTGAGAAACATCAACATTAGTTAACTCAAGCACACTGGCAAGGGTTTCACGGATGACACTACATCTTTAGAAGGAACCCACAACTGACAAATATCTGGGATTAAGGAAATTTATCCTTAATGCCCTGCAAACGAGAAACATTTGTCTGTCAAAGAATATAAAATGCCTTTTTTGAAAAAAGAAGACAGAAAACCTATATAAAACATTTTGGCACTTATGTATCATACCATTTTTCTAATAACAGTTAGCTCACTGTGATCTTGGCCAAATCATCTTCTACTTGTGGATATTGTGATTCCTCATATGGTCATATTCAGACCCGTCAATTTTGATCTATGGAGAAATATTGGAAATGAAATGATATCAGAAAAATAAATAATAACAGCTTTTGTAAAGAATGTAAAAGAAAATTAAAAAAAAAAATTATGAATAAAGCATGATATAGCTTCTAACCTCAAACTCTCTTCTTCGTATTCGATCCAGTCGTTCTAGAATCTGCTTGGCAGCAGCGACTACAGAAGGGCTGCACTGTTTCAACTCAATTGACCGCAACTTGAAAATATGTGCAAAACTCTGAGGGATCTCTTCCAGGCAATAACAGAATTTTAGACCTAAGTGCTGGAGACATGGGAAGGAATTTTTATTAGCCTTCAACTGCACCAGGTTTTTAGCTTCAAGATGCAAGAATCCTAACTGACAGAATCCTCCTTCTGATACTACCCATACTTTTCCATGGAAGGAATTTTCTAGCTTGAGCATCTTAAGCTGGGGCAACTTGCCAATTAGTGTTAAATGCCTCTCAGAGAGATTAAGCCCTCTCAACCTCAACTCCTTCAGTAGGAAAGGAAATATAGACCGATTTCGAAGGGTTACAGTGCAGTCAATAGCAACTAAAATCGTTAACTTCTCAAGCCCTACCAAATAGTCAAGATTATCCAAAATGATGGGATTACTGCAAGATCCGCAAATGCAGTTGAGCTCTAATTCATCTTTAAGGAAAATTTTCAGTGCTTTTAATTTCGGAAGCTTGTTATACATTTCCTTTTGGCAATAGGTTGGACTCACCCAAGATAATGTTTGAAAACTCTTCATATCAACGCTTGGAGGATCTACTGTATATGAATTGCCAAGTTCAAGATGCCTCAACTGTGGTGACTCCCAAATTTTGGATGGCAAGCGGACAGTAGCTTGTGATCCATTACCAGAAACAACAAGTGTCTGCAAATTAGAGTTAATTGACACTATATATTCCAGACCTTCAAACCATTGTGCTACAGATATGTATCTCAAAAAAATGAAATCCCCAAAATGCATTTGCATTCTTCGGAAGAATGGGGGTGGAACAGAAGCCAAAACTCTTAACAGCTTGAGAGGTACAGAAATTTCAGGATTTTCATGAAAGAAGAAAATGGAGCGAGAGTTAATTGTATCAAACAACACATAATAGTCAAAACTATGTGTGTATAAACTCAACCAACGGCATGAATTTGCAAATGCATTTAATGAAACTCCTGGAAATTGCATAGTATTTACTGCACATAAAATACCTCCTCTTTGAGCTTCTCCTACACAGAAAGTATGCATGCTACCATGCATCTTACAAGTCTTAATTTTGCCATTTGAGCTCCGGCTGCTAATTAAGACAAGACTTCTATCAACAAGCTCTTGTAAATACTCATAAGCTACAATTTCCAATTGCTTCACAAATCCCTCAGCAACCCACAATCTAATAAGTGTTTTAACTGAGATTTCACTGCGTTTTGGGAAGACTCCAAAATATAGAAAGCAAACATTCACATAATTTGACAATTCATTGTATATGCGAGCAAGTACAGTACGATCTAGAACTCCCAGCAACTCTACTTCCTTTTCAATCTTCTTCCATTCTTGTTGTATGTTGTTGCATTTTGACAAACGCTTTGCAACTTCAACAATTAATTGTGGTAATCCTTCACATTTCTCCAAAACCTCACTCCTAATTTTTTCAAATTTAGGTGCCATAGATTCTTTGGGAGAAAGGATATTGCAGAATAGATCCCAACTTTCCTTTGGATCCAAAAAAGCCATGTTATGCTTATAAAAACTTATATAATCAGATATATCCAGATCACAGTGCGTCGTGGTTATTAATATGCGATTTCTGCCACCACGAGGAAAACATCTTTCGATATGTTGCCAAGCTGAATTGTCCCATAAGTTATCCAAAACAATTAGATACCTCCCACTATCTAATCGTTGACGTATTTTCAATTGCAGTCGACTTAAGGATCGCCAACTTGCAACTGGCTCAGGCTCTACTCCGGAAATTGACGACAAAAGATCCCGTAGTGTTTGATCCACAGGCTGGTATTCTTGAGGTAAAGTAATCCAAGCTCGTACCTGGAAACGCGATGCAACTGAGGGATCATTGTAGATACTTCTGGCTAAACAAGTCTTTCCTATACCCATCATCCCAACAATTGCAATTACTCTTGGTCTGTCATATTGGTTGACATCGAAGAGGAAGTTGTTTATGGCTGTACGATCTCGGTGACGCCCGACCATTATTCTGCCCTCAAAGCACTGTGACTGTGAGGATCCACTCAACTTAACATTCTCAGGCCCGACCTCATCATCTTCTTCATTCAGCATCTCCAGCAACTCTGCTGCATTTTTTCCTGCTTCTCGCAAGATTTGATGGAGCTCCTCAGAAGCATTTTGTGGATGCCCTCCATCTTTGGCCACAAGATAGTTGCTGATTTGTATTTCAATGTGGTCTTCAGCTTTGAGCGCAAAGTCTCTAATTTTGATTTCCAAATCATTGATTTTAGCACCACCACCACCACCACGCTTGAATTTCTCAACAAAGGCCTGCAAAGAACAAAGCTTTTTATGGAGCATTTTTACTTGACCATAAAGAGACACGCTTGGGCTGCTTGGCTTGCGCTTCAGCAGACAACACATCAACCCACTTTCATGAGTTTCATCTGCATAAACCGATACCCTTGGCCTTGACCTTGAGTTGAACTGCAAAAACTCAAGCTCAAGTGTTGACATGAGAGAAGTTAAAGCAACAATGGCCATCTCTCTAGGTTAACTCACTCAAGCTCAGACAACTTCGTTATAATTTGGAAAAGGCTCAGAATCGGATGACAAAAGTTGCAAACACTAAGCGGCGTGATCTGGAATTTACTGAAGGAGACAAGGTTCTATTGAAGCTCCGGCCGCACCGCCAATCCACACTCCACAATCGAGTAAACCAAAAGCTGGCTCCCCGTTACTATGGCCCATTCACGGTTCTCCAAAAATTCAGTTCTGTTGCCTACAAATTAGCATTGCCTACTACTGCAAAGATCCACCCAGTATTTCATGTGTCACAACTCCGACGTGTTGCAGGCACTCATACACCAATTACTGACCTACCCCGAGACATGGCGGTTACGGAACCAGGTTATGAACCGCATACTATTCTGGAGACTCGTGAACAGCACGGAGTTTCCCAGATTCTAGTCCAATGGGAGGGCCGCTCTAAAGACGATGCTACATGGATGGACGTGTCCGATTTCCGGGGGCAGTTTCCACACTTCAACCTTGAGGACAAGGTTGTTTCCCTGGAGGATGGCAATGTTACACACCCAAAGAAATGGGTGGTTTACTCACGCAGAAGAGGAATTCAAGACAAGAATGGGAAGCAGGAAATTGGGACAGCAAATCAAGCTAATCAGATAGAAAATGGGAAAGCTTAAATCATGGGATTTAAAGGGAATAAATCAGTCTCACAATCCTCTCCTTTTCCCTTATTTGTTCATTGTTTGACACTATAAAATGTAATCTCTTAGTAAGAGGTAGGCATCAAATAATTTTCTCTTAATTCCCTTTGAGCTCTAGTAGCTAGGCAGGAACTAGTTCTTGCTGGAGGTGTCAATCTGTTGGCAGCCTTGTTTTGTTTCCGTTCCTTCCCTTCTTATTCAATAAAAAAAAGCCCTCCTCCTATCATTATCTACTGTCCCTGTTTCTTTACTCTAACACAATCAACAAGTGAAGTGATGTGGATACACAACCTTTTGTATGAGTATGGTTTCAAAGCTCCAATTCCTGCAAAGCTATGGTGTGATAACCAAGCTGCTCTTCATATTGCATCAAACCCGGTGTTCCATGAACGAACTAAGCACATAGAAATTGGCTGTCACTTTGTACGTGAGAAGATACAACAAGGGTTAATCTCCACAGGATTTGTGAAGACAGGAGAACAACTCGGGGACTTATTCACAAAGGCCCTTACTGGAACCCGAGTCAGTTAGTTGTCTAACAAATTGGGCATGATCAATATCTTTGCTCCAACTTGAGGGGGAGTGTTATAGAATATTCTGTGTGATTGAGTATCCCATATTTTAGGAAACTAAATATTGGCGTACCATATCAGTTTAGAATCTGCTTGTATTTAAGGAGTGGTTGACTAACCCTAGAGACACACAGAATGAGAGAGAGCTACACAGAGGTATGCTTCTCACTGCTTTAACACATACCACAACCACCAACATGATTTATTTGAAAAACATCAAAATTAGTTAACTTGAGCATACTGGCAAGGGTTTTACCAATGACAGTACATCACGTACAAATGACCAACGCGCATCTATTGATCTCCTTTTCAAAGTTTGGTGAGGATAAACTGACCATTATATTGTTGTCCATTTGGCAGAGCTCTTGAGCGCATGTTTCAATGCCATCTATTAGCATATTTTGGATACTCTGCAATAGCATCTTACTTCCACAAGGAACCCCCACAACTCTCAATTATGTGAGATTGAGGAAGTTTACCCTTCATGCCTTGCAAATGATCGACAAACCGTCAAAGAATATCAAATGCATTTTTTGAAAAAGAAATCAGAAAACCAGTCATGTTTTATAATAGATCAAATACTATATTTGCAGTAGTTAACTAAACTGTGATCTTGGCCAAGTCATACTACATCTACATCTATAACTTTGCAGATATGATATTAAGGTATCACATAAAACTCCACATTCATCGTAAGTCTTAAAAGAAAGAAATTTCAGTATATTTTTCTCCAAGTTGCTGGAAAACCTTTTCAATTTTGCTTCGATAAATTTCATAGATTCCTACCAATATTTTCCTTTACTCCTCACTACTCTGTTTTACAAGGAAAAATTAAAAAAAAAAAAAAAAAAAAAAAAAAAAAAAAAAGCAAGACAAATATCATCATCATCACAAAATTAAACCTTTAACTGCATTGTAGTAAACCATTTATCACTACCATTTAAGTGGTTAGTTAACCCCTCAAATTTTTTGCATTATAAAAGTGGAGTTGTTAGCAATCAAAGAGGTGTGAGTTTTGGGAGATTATTTCATATTGTAATTGTAAAACGAGCGCTCAGTTAAAATAAAATGGTTACATATCACCTAAAGACTGACTTCAAGATTTTGAGCCCTTTCTTTAAAACCAAGATCACTATCAAATCTTTGCTTTGAAGCAATACAGGATACATTAGTTGGAGGCTATTTATAGCTAATTCTAATAGGAGAAGTTTTCAAAATTATACTTAATTGGCCTTGCCCTTGCAAATCAAATATCAATCAGATGAGACAAAACAAAATAACCAAGCAATTCCTCTTACCTTTGGAACTCCAATAGCTTGAGCACAACCAGCTTCCAAATTTAGAAATTTTTCTGCAACATATTCAATGACCACACAAATCTGCAAAAGCATATCAAAACAAAGAATGAATATATTTGCAAAACAGAAAATAAACAGAGATGTAAAGTCATCTCATCATCTCATATAGGCAATAGATGAATAAACCTCCATGCCACAGCCACTAACATATACGATTCCTTTGAGAAACATCAACATTAGTTAACTCAAGCACACTGGCAAGGGTTTCACGGAACTGACAAATATCTGGGATTAAGGAAATTTATCCTTAATGCCCTGCAAATGAGAAACATTTGTTTGTCAAAGAATATAAAATGCCTTTTTTGAAAAAGAAGACAGAAAACTAGTCATGTTATAATATAACAAATAGTATGTAGGAATTAATTGGCAGATATGTATCATATCATTTTTCTAATAACAGTTAGCTCACTGTGATCTCGGCCAAGTCATCTTCTACTTGGGGATATTGTGAATCCTCATATTCAGACCCGTCAATTTTGAGCTATGGAAAAATATTGGAAATGAAATGATATCAGAAAAAGAAAATAGTAACAGCTTTGGTAAAGAATGTAAAAGAAAATTTAAAAAAAAAAAATTATGAATAAAGCATGATATAGCTTCTAACCTTAAACTTTCTTCTTCGTATGGGATGCAGTCCTTCTAGAATCTGCTTGGCAGCAGCGACTACAGAAGGGCTGCACTGTTTCAACTCAATTGACCACAGCAAGAAAATATTTGCAAAACTCTGAGGGATCTCTTCCAGGCAATAACAGAATTTTAGACCTAAGCGCTGGAGATGTGGGAAGGAATATTTATTAGCCTTCAACTGCTCCAGGTTTTTAGCTTCAAGAAGCAACAATCCTAACTGACAGAATCCTCCTTCTGATACTTCCCATACTTTTCCATGGAAGGAATTTTCTAGCTTGAGCACCTTAAGCAGGGGCAACATGCCAATTAGTGTTAAATGCCTCTCAGAGAGATTAAGCCCACTCAACCTCAACTTCTCCAGTAGGAAAGGAAACATAGACCGATGATTTTGAAGGGTTACAGTGCAGTTAATAGAAACTGAAATTGTTAACTTCTCAAGCCTTTCCAAATAGTCAAGATTATCCAAAATGATGGGATTACTGCAAGATCCGCAAGTGCAGTTGAGCTCTAAGTCATCTTTAAGGAAAATTTTCAATGCTTTTAATTTTGTAAACTTGTTATACATTTCCTTTCGGCAATAGGTTGGACTCACCCAAGATAATGTTTGAAAACTCTTCTTATCAACGCTTGGAGGATCTACTGTATAGGAATTGCCAAGTTGAAGATGCCTCAACTGTGGTGACTCCCAAATTTTGGATGACAAACGGACAGTAGATGCTCCAGCTTGTGATTCATTGCCGGAAACAACAAGAGTCTGCAAATTAGAGTTAATTGACACTATATAATCCAGACCTTCAAACCATTGTGCTACAGATATGTATCTCAAAAAAATGAAATCCCCAAAATGCATTTGCATTCTTCGGAAGAATGGAGGTGGAACAAAAGCCAAAACTCTTAACAGCTTGAGAGGTACAGAAATTTCAGGATTTTCATGAAAGAAGAAAATGGAGCGAGAGTTAATTGTATCAAACAACACATAATAGTCAAAACTATGTGTGTATAAACTCAACCAACGGCATGAATTTGCAAATGCATTTAATGAAACTCCTGGAAATTGCATAATATTTACTGCACATAAAATACCTCCTCTTTGAGCTTCTCCTACACAGAAAGTATGCATGCTACCATGCATCTTACAAGTCCTAATTTTGCCATGTGAGCTCCGGCTGCTAATTAAGACAAGACTTCTATCAACAAGCTCTTGTAAATACTCATAAGCTACATTTTCCAACGCTTTATGCTCCAACGGCTCCACAAATCCCTCAGCAACCCACAATCTAATAAGCGTTTTAACTGAGATTTCACTGCGTTTTGGGAAGACTCCAAAATATAGAAAGCAAACATTCATATATTTTGGCAATTGATTGAATATGAGAGCAAGTACACTACGATCTAGAACTCCCAGCAACTCTAATTCCTTTTCAATCTTCTTCCATTCTTGTTGTATGTTGTTGCATTTTGACAAACGCTTTGCAACTTCAACAATTAATTGTGGTAATCCTTCACATTTCTCCAAAACCTCACTCCTAATTTTTTCAAATTTAGGTGCCATAGATTCTTTGGGAGAAAGGATATTGCAGAATAGATCCCAACTTTCCTTTGGATCCAGAAAAGCCATGTTATGCTTATAACAATATATATCAGCATAGCTTTTCTGATCGAAGTGCGTTGTGGTTATTAATATGCGACTTCTGAGACTAAAAGGAAAACAATCTTTGATATGTCCCCAACCTGAATTGTCCCATAAGTTATCCAGAACAATTAGACAACTCCGACGTGCTAATCGTTGATATATTTCCAATTGCAGTGGACTTAAGGAACGACTAATATAAACTTCATCTGGCTGAGGCTCTACTCCGGAAATTGACGACAAAAGATCACGTAGTGTTTGATCCACATGCTGGTATTCTTGAGGTAAAGTAATCCAAGTTCGTACCTGGAAATGCGATGCAACAGAGGGATGATTGTAGATACTTCTGGCTAAACAAGTCTTTCCTATACCCATCATCCCAACAATTGCAATTACTCTTTCTCCATATTCGTCGAAGAGGGAGTTGATTATCGCTGTACGATCACGGTGACGCCCGACCATTATTCTGCCCTCAAAGCACTGTGACTGTGAGGATCCAGTCAACTTAACATTCTCAGGCCCGACCTCATCATCTTCTTCATTCAGCATCTCCAGCAACTCTGCTGCATTTTTTGCCGCTTCTCGCAAGGTTTGATGGAGCTCCTGAGAAGCATTTTGTGGATGCCCTCCATCTTTGGCCACAAGATAGTTGCTGATTTGTATTTCAATGTGGTCTTCAGCTTTGAGCGCAAAGTCTCTAATTTTGATTTCCAAATCATTGATTTTAGCACCACCACCACCGCGCTTGAATTTCTCAAGAAAGGCCTGCAAAGAACAAAGCTTTTTATGGAGCATTTTTACTTGACCATAAAGAGACACGCTTGGGCTGCTTGGCTTGCGCTTCAGCAGACAACACATCAACCCACTTTCATGAGTTTCATCTTCATCAACTGATACCCCTGGCCTTGACCTTGAGTTGAACTTCAAAAACTCAAGCTCAAGTGTTGACATGAGAGAAGTTAAAGCAACAATGGCCATCTCTCTAGGTTAACTCACTCAAGCTCAACTATTTTTCTGTGTTTGAGAAGAAAAGAGAAGAGAAAATGCCAGATACAGAGGGGCATTATTCATTGTAGTAAATTTCTCTTTTTATGTTAAGTGTATATTTTTCCTTTAAAAAATAAAGATAAAATATGAATTTCATTTATTTTTTTCCTAACAAATTATTGTTTATACAACATCTTTTTATAAATATTATAATATATTTTTTAGCTAATGTTACTAACATTAATACAAACTTGCCAAATAGTTCGCCCCTCTATCATACCAGTTGCAACTCATGCGAATATCAACTAGCCAACTACATGCACCACACACCATTTAGTGTTCCCCCGGTGCATGCTCACAAATTCCTTCATCCCAAGTTGTTCACCCCCAATCGTCGACTTGCCATATAGGTTGCGACTCATTCTAAGCCCTCACCCCACCCAACACCCGTGCTGTCCATTGCTATAGCATCACTCACATCCTCATCTAGTGTCTGGAAACATCCCACAAATCCAAACAATGTTCGAACTTGTCACTAGTAACTACTAACTGCTAGAACATCAACTTCACTATAATTTGAGTTATCAGCATGTGCCACGTTCGCAGCCTCCTATTTCTTCAACTTCACTACTAGGAAGAATAAACTAATTAACCAGAAATGCATGCATAACTACACATCCATAACTTCATAACTTCATAACTATACATTCAGAATTGCATAACTACACACCCATAATTTTCATAACTATACATTCAGAATGTGAAATTATAACTTTATAACTATACATTCAGAATTGTATGCATAACTACACATCCATAACTCTATAACTACACATTCAAAATTGCATCACTACACATCCATAACTTCATAACTATACATTCAGAATGTGAAATTATAAAATTATAAACATATGTTTACGTAACTAACGGCAATAAAAAATGATTTTTTTAAAAAAGTAAAACGACACCGTTTTTGCAACCGTGTGCACTATGCACAACATAATTTGCCCTCTTGCACTAATTGAATGACCAAACTTCATAAGCATTTCAATTACAGTTCTTTTTTTTTTTTTTTTTTTTTTTTTTTTTTTAAGTTCCTCCAATAAGCTTTTTAACGAATAAATTTTTTTTTTCTAATTGTTTCGATGTTTGATTAAGGTTCATCTTCTTTTTTCTTTTTTTTTTTCTTTTTTTAATCCTTCTATCTCCTTCGCATGTTTAAAAAAAAAATAGAAAAAAAAAGTGATAGCTAAAATGTTTGCATTATTGTGGCCCCATCCACTCATCTTTACACCCATACACCACCACTAAAGTTGATAATTGAAAACTTCATTTCACAAACTCACATAAGAAAGCTCGTATTATTGTAGCAATTTTTAATCATACAATTCATTAATTATGTTTGTTATAAATATTTCATTTTTATGCCCATTAAATTTGTTACTTTTGAGTTAGCCTTTACTTATTACATGATTTATGTTGAGTGTGTGAAAGGTTGTATGAAACATTATATAATGGAGTGATGGCTAATGAAATGAGACACATATTGTTGTGCCCTACATTTGGTGTTATTCTTCTTCTTCTCCCTTTTCTCTCTTTACGTATAAATGCATACACATATACGAACCTCTGGACGAATTACGGTGCAAACATCACGTGAGAACTAACGAGTTTTGATAGGTCGAATTACAACAATCTTTTCAATTTTAATAATCACAATAAGTGTTAAACTGTCAATTATTTCTTAACCTCTTCCATGATCAATCCATCAAGAACCTACCAAAGCGTTTGCTTCAAGCTAAGTATGTCATATATTACTTCAGGGATGTCAAATTCTTGAAAATGTCACATTTCTACCATATACGTACAAAGCATTCCTTTGATTGCAAAGAGGATATGGAAGACTCAAAAGCAATTCAAATAGTGCACCCCAATCATACAAACTCAAATTTTTCTTCCATTACACAACACAATCCAATCACTTAAAAAAGCAAAAGCAAAAGCACTCATTACCGACCCTGTTTACACTGAAAGGAATGCAACACACATATCATCATCATCTTCATAAAAATAGAGTTCTTAGCCATCAAAGAGGTGTGAGTTTTGGAATTCCTCTAATTACCTCTACATCTTTAATACTTGAGCACTAGCAGATTCCCAGTTTGGAATTTCATATAAGCTTGTTGGGTAATATGGTTGAAAAATCCCAAAAATAATAATCCTACGAAAAGATTAATATTATATGGGAAAACAGAAAAACTGGGAAGGAAAAGGTGAAGTGTTTGGATATAGGTTTAGCACGAGTTCGAACACAAAGTTCTTTTCCTTAAAACCTTATTTGCTACCTCCCACAAGTGCCAGGAGCGTTGTAGCCTAGGTTTCCCAGGATAAAACGTGCTACGATTCCTTGTTTAAGCACCTAAGCAAGGAACCCGGCAAACAAAGCAAAGTAGAGAACTAGTTGGTAAAGAAGAGAGTAGAAGCAGAGTTTTGAGAAGCTGAAAGCTACTGGAATTCCTTTCGTTTTCTGTACTGTAAAATGCTACTGCTCTACCTCTCTTTATATAGGGATGTTGGAGTGCTAGCATTCAACATGACCATTAAATTGGTATTAAAACCAATTGTGTAACACCTGTAATAGTCACTCACTAAGACACCTGTAACAGTCATCCACTAAGTAGGATTAAACTCAGAATTTAAAATTGGAATTAAAACAGTATTAATTCCGTATGAGTTTAATCTGTTGGGGTGCAGGTTCACAACAGGCTGAACTTTGTTGGGGTGCAGGTTCACAACAGGCTGAACTTAGGCTGAACTTTGTTGGGGTGCAGGTTCACAACAGGCTGAACTTTCCGGTTTCAGACCGTTGGGGCTTTTCGGTTTCAGACCGTTGGGGTGCAGGTTTACAACAGGCTGAACTTTCGGGTTTCAGACCGTTGGGGTGCAGGTTCACAACAGGCTGAACTTTTGGGTTTCGGGTTTCAAACCGTTGGGGTGCAGGTTCACACGAGAGCACACGGATCAGGCAACAACCTTTGGGGTGCAGGTTCACACGAGAGTACATCTCTCGTGCGCTGTCACGCCCCACCTCTAGGACATGACCCGACCGTATTGTTACGTGAAGACCTGTAACAATACGAAGCCTAACCATACATACCTCTCAGAATCTTCATAATAACACTTGAATATACAATAATTCCACAACCCAAAATGACAAAATATAATCGACCTATTCTTCCCAAAAACTCATCAAATCCACTATTAGATATTTACAATCAAGAGTAGTATGTCCAAAATGCATCACAAGCACCAAAGCCAAGCACAATGGTCTACCAAAAAACACAAAGGGTCAAAGGGAATGTCTAAATAAACGAAAATCCATGATAAGCTCCAAAACTAGGACTAAGTCTCCAAGTTTCAAAAGTCACCTTCGAGACCCCACCACTTGTGCTCGTGCTATTCACATGTCTTAACTACTCTGAAACATGAGGAAAAACAAATACAAATAATGAGCTAATGCCCAGTAAGTGGTACTCCTCTCAACCCCGGATCAAGTAACCCCAATAATATACAAAAAGCTTTAGAGTAATAACTAGATGCAAAACTTGATCTTTAAACCATATCGAAGTCATAATATACTCCATCATACAATACATAAGCTCACAAAACAAGAAACTTTAGCTACATGGGCATCAACAATATTTCATAACACAATACTTTCAAAAGCACAATTCATTCCTTAACATATGACCCATTGGCAACCTACAACCACCATTATATTCTGTGGCACATGCCATTATCGATATAATGGTCCAAAAAGACTCGACGATTCGGAATGAGTCAGGCTCGACGATTCAGAATGAGCCAGATGGAACGTTCCAACAAATAATTCAAAAGACTCGACGATTCGGAATGAGTCAAGCTCGACGATTCGGAATGAGCATTTAGGAACGTTCCAAGCCAAACAAAACAAACAACAAAATGTAGGTTCCCTCATGAGTTTAATCAAACACTCAAAATAGTTCTTATAATCAAATAGCCCGATGTAGCAAAAATCATTTCCTTAAAGTCACATAACAAAGTACATATTTCCAAAGTAGATAATAAGTTTATCAAACTACGAAATATGCAAGTTATAAACCATTCTCAAAATAACAATTTTCTTAGTACATAACTCTTTAAAAATCATAGAATAGTTTATTAAACCGAAGTAATTTCAAAGGAATTGAAATGGCTTAGTTGGAAGAACTTGAGTTGATATAAGCATGAGGTTAGGAGTTCAATTCTCTCTTTAAACAAATAATCCATTTTATTAGCATGTAATACATACAGAAAAATAAACATAAGGTATGTTAACACGCAGAGTAAAACCCACAACCTATTGCTACCTACACAACAACCACAAGCCATTCTACCATCTCTACACTTGATGACTATTCCAGTCCAGATTATATAAGTAAACAATTCCTGTCCGGAAACACAGTTCACAACAATTCCAGTAAACGCAGCTCAAAATTTCAATATACAACTCAAATCACAAGTTTAATTTATAGTATAGGGTAAAAATGGTTTTGAGAGAAATACACACTTACCTAAAACATTCAAATCTTAGCTATTTAGCTTGCCCAAATACTCCTTGTCAAAATCCCTAATATTTTCAAATATCAATCTTAGGGCTCCAAAGATAAACCCAACTCATAATGAGTAAAAGATAGAGGTTAAACTCACCTAGAATACCCAATATCTTAGAGATCTAAGCTTGAAGAAGATGGAGATCCAAGCTTCAAGGTCTTCCCTTCCCCTATCTCTCTCTAGTCAACTCCCCTTATCTTCTTTTAAAAGATATCTTTCTCCAAGACCAAGGGATTCCTTAATCTTTAAGGG